TCAAAACTAGTGAAACCGATAAATCGTTATCGACATACCTCTATCGGCGAATACTGATAGAGATGTAGTTGATGTTTCCGACGAAGTTTCCAACAACAATATCATTGGTTACAACCCATGCACCATTGTTAATTGAACTTTTCTGTCATTATTATTATTATTATTTATACAAAATCCTCATCGATAAATTAAATTTATGAAAATAAACGTTTCAATTATCAGTAAAGAAAAAATATGGCTTGAATGTTTCGATGGTAAAATTGTACAAAAATTTTAAAAAAAAAAAATATTGAAATTTGAGGCCTCAGCGATTTTCTCATTAGTCAATCAATTATAATAGTTGTACATTAAAAGGATGAGTTATGTTACATGTACAAAGTTGGGTTATAAAGTTGGTTGACAAAATAACATCTACAACAATCATTTTAAAAACAAATTTTTAAATCATTTGAAATCAACGATTTGGATTTTAAAATGTTGTTAAAATCAATACATAAAAATATCGATAAAAAAAAAAAAATCAATGTATAAAAAATTGCCAACTCACCACAATGTCAAAACTTGTTATAAAGTTGACGTACATGTAACAAGATTGTTAGTCAATATGTTGAGTCGGCTCAACGTATTAGTCAATTTGCACAGTGAAAATGCAAGACTGTAAGTTCGATATGCAATGTAGAATCATCTTAGTCATGTTGGCGAAGCATCTTTTAGAGAGATCTCAAAAACTAAAATTTAATTTACTTTTTATAAAATTGTTGAGTGTAACCAAACAAGGAATAAGGAATAGAGAGACGACTAGAAACTAAAACGTAATAACATGGCTTTCGGCTAGATTAAAGTCATACATATTGATCTGAAAGCGGAAAAGCCAACGAAAATGGCTCTCAGCTCCAACGCCAATCCGTTGTTACCTCTCTCTGGAACTTCGATTCCTTCCAATTATGCTAATAGAAATCTCAAATCATTTTCTGATTTCTATAATCCAACCTTCATCGCCAAATTCTCTGCAAAAAAACCGTTGTTTATTTGTAATTCGCGCCAACCATTCTCACTAAGAATCAGAGCTCAAACTTCCAACGGCAGCAATGTTAATGTTAACGAAGATCAAATTTCCGATTTTATCATCGAAGACGTCCCTCACTTAACAAATTTTCTCCCTGATTTACCGGTATTTCTTGCTCAGTAACTTAAAAGAATGCGTTTCAATTTCCTGTCAATTTCTTAAAATCAGTAATAGCAGTAATTAATTTGGAGCATTAGCAGTAATTAATTTCCTGTATACACGAGCATTAGCAGTAATTAATTTTGTA